AGCAGTAGCAGCAGTAGTAGTAGTAGCAGCAGCAGCAGTAGTAGGAGCAGCAGCAGCAGCAGTAGTAGTAGCAGCAGTGTTATTATTAATTGCTAGTTTTCATTTGATTTATCAATATTTATTTATTTATTTGTTTTATTTATTTATTTATTTATCAAATCATAGTTATTTTAGGATTTTTAAACTTAATATGAAAATTAAGATTTTAAATACTTTAAGTTATTCACATAATATTTAGTCATAAGAATGACGATTTATTTTTAAGAAAGACACGTTCATACCAAGCAGTAACAATTTGATAATATGTTAATATAATTACTCATAATACATTTAAGATAAAAATAAATGGCCAAAATAAATAAATGATAGCTTTTAATGATATTTCATTTTTTAATATTGCTCTCTTAATAAGTTTTTAATCTTCATGCAAACTAATAATTTTATTTATGAATATATTTTTCTTTGCATTTAAAAAAATAGAAATTTGAGAGTAGGAAACCAGATATCATCTTTAAATCCGCACAGATATTCTGGCTGTACTAAATTTAAAGTTAGATTAATATCTTAGATACTGGATCTCAATGTTTTCTATGTTTATTGTGATCGGTAATATTATATCATTATTCAAGTTACAACTCAATGGTTATATTTCATGCAAATTTTATATTAGGTAAACATGTTTAGTTTGCTACACACACCACAAAGAGAGTTAAGTATCCTCTCTTTACTTTAAATGTGCAGTCTTTTAAGCAATGTAAATGACATTGAAGGTTTATATCATTCTTAGCAGTAATTATTTAACATGGCAGGCAAAATTAACAGTCTTATAGCAACCACAATTAAGTAAAAACTTTTTTTTTAGTTTAAAAGCTGTGGAAAAAGAAAGAATGTAATGAGACAGATCAAGAAAGATAAGTAAGAATAGAAGTGAATGTTAGAAACAGACCTCTGGGCCAAGAGCTAGAGTTTTGAAGTCTTGAATGAGGTTGGAGATAAGAGAGAAGCCTTGAGAAGGTGCTGACTGAAAATAAAAGACACACATGGAATGGTTTATGCTTTAAATTCACAGATTTATCAAGCAATTTATGTATGAAGATTTTACATGTACAAGATTAACACATCGAATAAAAATCACTTCAAATAATGGGTTTTATAGCTAACAAATTCAACACATATTATAGGAGCTTAAAAGCATGAATACACTGATGTAGAAATGCCACATTTAATGTATCTAAATGCTGTCAACAAAAACCAAATTTTAGAATGAATTCAAGATTTGACAGGTTTGCTTGCATTGTTTTTAAGCTCAAATATCTGTCAAGAATGTTTACAATTTGAGGTGAATTTTAATTTTTTTCTCCATCCTGGAGTTTAAGATTGTAAAAATGTACTTGTATCTTACTTTTGTTATTATATATATTTTGACCCCAAAAACCTGTGTTTCTGCAGAATGTAGAGGTGAGAATGTACATTAAAGGCCTTCAAAATCTTGGTCAATTTGGTCACTCTAGTGAAATATTAAATAATTACATCCTGAATTTTATCCCAGTCCTCATGTCAATAGCCAGAAGGTATAACACAAAAACCATGGCAGGTGTTTTGCACCATCTCGTAAAACAATCAAAGTTACACCTAGATACCAAGTGCAATTCCTCTTTGTAAGAAAATAAAGCCACCTTAAAATCCCTTTCAAAAAAAGTGCAAGCTTTATTCCTTCATCCTCGGGAATCTAACTCTTTTAAAACTTGATGTCCAAAATTCCTACAGAAAAAATTAACTTTAAGTTCAATATTCAAGTGTACAGATATGTATACTTTCCTTTGCTGTAGTACAAAAAGGAAGGATGTGATTCGGAATTGCTTATAATTTATGCTACAATTTCTATTTCAATATAAGCAATTAGCATAAACTGTGAGATTAGAACATTTATCTTATAAATACACATATAATTATATAAGTAAGTAGTGTAGTAAGATTTCATATAGTGGATATATAGCATTTAAATTTCCTGAATGTGACCCTAATACTATATAGTCTTATCAGAAGAAGTATGATTATTGTCGTACTTTATTATCAATGCAGTCATATTTTTAATTTGTTTTAGTTTATTTAAATTAATGCATATTTAAAGAAAAAGCAAAGTTTTGTTTGATTAATTGAAACTCTTTCACAAAGCTTACCTTTTTTCATATAAGAAATAATGATTGACTTCAAATCAAATAGTTCCTTGTTGGTTGTTGTTACATTCATAATAGTTTGTTTTTTTCAACCATAAATTTAATAAATATGATCCGAGCTTTCGCCCTACTTGGCCATTCTTAGGGAAATGAAAAACGTTGCAATTGACAAAGAAAAACACAATCAAACCATGGCATATGTGCACGCGCAATAAATTAAACAAAATCGCGCACGCTTGGGGGGGGGGGGGGGATAATATAAATAAATTGCGTTTTTCTTTGTCAATTGTGACATTTTTCATTTCACTGAGGGTGGCCGAGTAGGCTGAAAGCTCGGATCATATTTATTAAATTTATGGTTGATAAAACGAACTATTATGAATGGTTGACCTTTATTTATAATAGCAGATAAAACGAACTTTTCAATATTGCGTAGTTCCAGAAAATATCCATACCCCATAATAATATAATCTGTTCCAAAACTTGAAAGACTTAAGTTTGATGAATGAATATTAATATGAGGATTATCATTAAAGCTGTTCTTAAGATTATTTCTTTATCAAGGTATTATACAGTAGCACACATAGTGATGTCTGGAATAAGTGTTGAAAGAATTTATTGATCCACACGTTAATAGATTTTAATGTCTAAACTAATAATCTTTTTAATTAAGTGTTTTGTTTACTAAAGGTGAAATATAAAGTAAAAATCAAAGTACTGTTTCGATTAAAATTAAAAGCAACCATGATTATTCCCCTTCGACCATACATTTTTATACTCTAATTATTTGATCTCTTATGCCCCCATACAATACAGTACGCTGTGTGTGGTCAGGCAGTTCCGAGACCCAAATGCAACAGATTTCTTACCCAAACTTAAAAATAAACTGATATTGTGTAGTTCCAAAAATTATCCATACCCCCTCTCGGAGGAATTTTTTCAAGACACCCCCCTACGCCCCAGAAATTCCAATTTTCTTCCATACAAACTCTGTAATTTTTGTTCCTCTCTGACCCCCCTACTCTTTGGAAATTTTGAATTCCTCTGTGGGGTGGGTATGGATGATTTCCGGAACTACGCGTTGTGTATATTGCAAAGAATAAAATTATTTTATCAAATGAATGAATGAATGAATGATTGAATAAATAAATAGGTGAACAATTGAGAGATGAGTGGGAGAGTAACATCAACAGAAGCATAATAATGGATAAGTTTCCTTTTTCTATGCTTCCACTTCTTACCATGTGTAAAATCAGATATCATTTTTTAAGTCAAAGAAAAAGTAAAATGAACTAACTAAGTGGATGACAGCATTTCAGCTCTAGTTTTGTCACCCTATCAAGAGATAATTCAATTTATTCAGGCTATAAAGGTTGTCTCTTAGCATAATACATAAAGAAACCTTTTAGTCAATAATGTATTAACAAGATTGGATTAAAATATGGTATTGTTGAACTGTAAGAGTGTGTGCGGCATTTAGGATCTTGGAGCTAGTGTCGAGAGGTAGCCACACCCCCCCTAGCTCAACATGGACAATTGCCAAGTGGGAGGAGTGGGGTGAACTGACAACTTTTGACCAGGCTGGATAACATGAACATTTCAAATATACAATCATGCAATTGTAGAATACTACTGAGCTCAACAAATGCAGCTTGCTTTTGATGGAATGAACAAAAATCAGTTGGAAATAGAGATATTCAGGGTATCATTTTCACAATTGATTGGTTTTAACCCAGTTTTCCTACTATAAAAAACTTGAAAATGGACTATAGAAATCAAAGGTATAACTATCTGTTCTTTTTAGGCTGATAATGGCATAATATCAGAGTTACTGAAATTTGAAGTTTAGTAAAATTGTACGTGCAAAAAAACAATAAAAAAAGTCTTAATATTTTTTTTCTAATCAGAATTTCATATCTTTTTCATTCAATCTTTATATTTTATTCTTATTCGTTCTTTTAGGAAAAATTCCATTCATTCTTTCAGATTATTCCTATTAATCCTTTTAGATTTTTCCCATAAAATTTTGTTCTTTTAGATCGATACAATTCATTTTCTCATTTTTTCCCATTCATTCCTTCAGATTTTTCTCATTCATTTATAACACAACTTCAACAATTCCCATTTGGGTTTCACATAAAAAAATTTCTTTGCAAATCAGTTGACTGATTCAAGATATTTTGGATCTATATAGAGACTGGCTGCTAGTTTGAGTATTTACCTGAAATCTGAATGGCGTAGAGGTAGCAAGAAAGCTTTTTGGGAACGTTTCTCAACAATATTTATAATTGTATTTCCCACCTAAAGTAAATGAATATTATAGTATTCCTAATGGCTGTCAAAAACCTTGTCACAGTCCAGGTTGTGCATAATAGAAATTTATTGAGAAAAAATCTAGAAAAACCAACATTCAGTAAGATTTTTGGAAACTTAAACAAGATAAAACTCTATCAAAAGGGCTTCCATTAATAGCAGTGTCCTAAGGTTTTATTTTATTTAGTTCAAAAGTTATGATCTATTGTTCATTTGATTATTTCTACTGATTTATTGATAAATTGTGAGATAAATGTCCCCACTAATACTGTCTTAATCTACCCAGGACTTAAATAATAGCAAATCATTTGGCGATCACGATCACAGGCCAAATTGGATTTTAGCTTAGTCATAACTGACTTGCAAGGCAAAGATTTGACCAGACAAGTCCCAGTTCTGGCCCGACATTATTCGATGTTCAGATTGATATTCTAAGACCTGGTACCCTCTATCAAAATTATGAAAGATATACACAGATATATATGATTTATAGTTGGAAATATATACTCTATATCTGTTCTGGATTTTTAAATCACAAGGTTTTGCAATAAATTTCTGTAGTCTTGCATCAATGAACTTAAAACAAACTGAAATATTTGCCTAATTAAGTGATACCACTTTATTTTGACAAGTGGACCGAGATAGTTCGCAATCCATAACTACATAGTAATTGGACTCAATATAACAATAAATTTAGATATAAATATATGCTATTATTTAATACCAAAGGCACACTGAAGAAGATCCATGGTCACAGATCTTAACGTCTGTAAAATTGTTTCATTCTAAGTCAGAGAAAAACAGTTCAAGTATTTAAATTTATTCTTAATTAATTTGTTATTTATAAATCTAATGTGTAAGTCAGCAATCCTAGTATAAGTGAAATCTGACTGTACTTTTTCGCTATTTTAATTCTTTCTTCTAGCTTCATGTAATAGTAAATAATTTTTGACAGTATGGTAAAATAAATTTGTACATGCAAGAAAGAATACAGCATTGACCTTTAGAAGACATATTAACCAAGCCATGACCAATTGTGTAAATATTGTTAACATGTTATTATGGCTGGGTGAATGTCATTGATGTTAAGAGAGTATGATTATGATTCTTTAAAAAATATTAATCTAAAAAAAAATTATATCAGCTTTCTTTGAAAGCATTACCATTGCCATAAACATTGCACTAATCATTAACACCCGGAAGACAGATTACCTGTTATATATAAAGACAACTAGTGTATAGTGTGAATGAATGTTCCATAATTTTGTATATTGTTCATGCATTGCTTGACGTAAACATTACATGTATGTGTATGAAACATGTTCAGTGTCATGGATGACAACGCATCATTCAACATTTACGCTCACGTCAAGAATAAAGTGCCTTTAAATAAAGTAAGGTTTACTTCTAATGCATGACTACCACACATTCGGGAATATTAATATCCCTAATGAGCAAGGGCTTGAGCCAATCTAATAATAATAATGATTATAATAATAATTATTATTATCTATAATTTTTCCTTATGAAACTAATTTACAAACCTTTTACTCGATATAATATAAAAATTCTATAAAAGCTTTACTTCCAAAAAACTCAAAAATCATTATTAAAAAGGGATGGTTCACAAACGCTTTAGAAACAATTTTCTAAGCTAGTTGTATACGTTCTTATTAAACCACATAAATGTAGAAAATAAAGATTAAGCAGAGTAATAAAAGCAAGTCTAATAAATTAATATACTTTATACTCAACCCACAAAATTATATGTTCATAAAAAGCACCTTTTTGATGATTATAACTCTATTCAAACAATAGATAAGAAAAAAGAGGATGGTTTAATTATGTCTAGAACTTTCATGGTCATTTCCCTGTTGCTTCTTTAAACTTTTGGACCAAAATTAGTTGAAAGAAGTTTTGTCCAGTATTTGAGAACAGAGTTCCAATATCTAGTGTTTGCCAGTTTAAATACAATAATTTTGCCAAAAAACATATCTCAATAAACATCCAGATTTACACAAGTTGTAAAAATTTCAACATCAGCCAACAATTTGGTAATCACTAACAAAATATATAAAACTAAAAAAAAATTTTTTTGACCTACAGTAAGGCTGCGTTCATATTGTAATGTATGGCAGAGGGGGGGGGGGCATGTGAAATTGAGGGGGGATCGGGAAAATTTTGGTAGGAAAAAGGGGGGATGGGCAAACGTTTATCAGAAATATGGGGGGGGATGCACCATGTTTGGAAGAAGCTACAAGCCTTGCTTAGTATAGGGGGGATTGTATTTTTTGCATGACTTTAAGGGGGGGGGGGGGTTAAGAATTATTCTGGACATTTCAAATTTTCACCTGCCCCCCCTGCCATACATTATGAATGCAGCCTAACATTTTTGAATTTTTAATGTCTGAAATATATATATATTTTACAACCATCACTTCCAGTACTGGACTCTTCCTTAAGGTTCCCTCTACAACAATCTATATTTTATGACATAACAACACTCGACTCATAACATGTTGATTTTTATGGAGGGAGGAAACTGGAGAACCTGGAGATTAACCCTCATGGCAAGCTAGGGAGAGAATGACACATCAAACAAACTCAATTCACATGTGATGAATTTTTTTTGTGCATTTTCAATTCTGAAAAGTCATGATTGTGATTATTGTTCTCTAAATACAAATAATATTTTGCTTTAAAATAGAATCATGATATAATCCTTATGAGAAATATTCTAATTCTAACAAAACCTATAGAGCTATAATACCAATAAATATATATTTTTTAATTCCATGGACTTTGCTATTATATTGCTGCAAATGCCATCTTTGCTTCAAGTGCCTTTTTTTTGCTAACGAAGTACTATGTCTGAAACTTCAAGCACACAATTCCAAGCTTTTTAACATGATGTTTAAGTTGCTTATTTCAAAGGGTTATCATTAATGATATCTTATGACGTTATTTAAATTCTGTTTTTCTTATTAAAGATGAAAGATTCATGAATGCATAGATGATTATTTGAAGTGCAAATGCATATGCAATCCTGTTTAGATAATATCATGTAGTTATGAGTTGGCATGTGAACAATACAGTATCTCTTTGAGGTTAGAATCTGTACTCTCCAGTGGATTTCAAATCATTACTGTCGTTCTACTCTAACCGTTAACACTCGAGTTTTCTCAGCCAATCAGATTACAAATTGAAAACATCAGAATTTGAGTTAAATGTATTGGAAGTCTATAAAAGCTATTCAAGGACATGAAATGATGAAAGAGAAAAAATAAATAAAAGTATATTTACAGTACACAAATAAAAATAAAAATAAACTCAAGTGTTCTAGTAGAATAACATTAAAACATGACTGTGCGAATGACTCACTATGATAAAAAAAGTGTTAATGTCTCGATGAAACATTATAGGTTTTATTTCATCAAGTGCTCAGTCATCTGTGGCTAATTCTTTCTATTAGCTAACAAGTACCAAATGAGATATTACATTTTTCCATACAGTTGCAAGCAATTAATTGTATCCTCCAAATTACTACTGTACACATAGCAGGACTTGCTAGACAACACACCATTAGTTCTGTTACAAATGAAAATAGCCTAAAAAAAAAACTATTAAACGAGTAGCCCTACATAAAATATAGCTATATTAATCCACGGCAGTAAAATAATGTTCTAGAATATGATTATAATTTCATGTGGTATAGAAACACTTTATTAGATGGCATATCTTGCCATATCTTAATCATTGTGAACAGCCTTGATGTTATCATAAATTCCATTGGCATTTTCACCAATCTTACACAAGTTGTGGATCACCCCATCGATTCCCTGGGGCAGGGCCTTTGCAGTGTCTAATACAGATACTGCTTTGGCCTTAGCTGGGAAATTTTAGATCCTTTGTGTAATCTTACAAACTTGAATCTACCCATCCAAGGTAGATTTCAAAATCTAAAACTAAAATTAAAAAAGAAAATATAAAAGAAAATGTCTCAAACAGGTGGATCGATATTATTCTAGGAGAAGACATAACATACCGAAATGAAAGATTTCCTTAATGTTTTAAGCAAACAATCTTAAACACAGGTATTACTTTTAGCCCTTACACTAATTTTCAGGTTTTCCAGTGTACATTCATTAAGACTTCTGTGAATACCATGAACCACATATGCAAAAGCTAATTTTCAAACTGCAACCATCAGTCAGGAATATTTCCATAATACTTAAATACAAAAATTTATGTTTCTAGAGTTGAGAATTTTCACTTAAAAAGATTTTTTTATATACAGCTGTATGTCATAGATTCTGAACTACACTTCTATGCTTCGAGAAATAAGTTAGATTGTATAGTTCAAAATAGCATTTGGAATACAAAAGTGCATTATTTGTGCCAGCTTTTATCATGGCACTGTAGAATTGTTTTCACAAGATTTCAACTATTTTTGACTAAAAGTTAAGTGTAGGCTCTACTGAGGTGTATCCTTAGCTGGATATTTCTATGTTGAATAATTTTCTTACACACTTTTACAATTGCAATAAAAAATGGGTGGGACGTATGATCGTAACTCAGTCACCTGGCAAGCTCTTACGATGCATATTTGTAAAAGAGGATTTTCTACAGCTCAACAATTATATAAACCAGATAGTCCAGTAAAACTTAAAAATATCTAAAAACACGACCAAAGGAAACGTTATTTTTGAACCGCTACAAAATCTACCTTTTACATATATATTATAATTCCTGGCTTATTTGAAATTCTCGCATTTGTAAAATATGCTAGCTCGCATGTAAGTTTGAATATATATAAGATAATGTCTAGATCACTAGAACAATTATTCAAAATCCAAATTGTATGTTGGTAAAATCTTCAATGAACTTTTCTCGTGTTGTGAGTGTTTTGGATCGAAGAGCTTGTCAGAAATATAATGAATCTCTGAGATAAATCTGCTCAAAGCAAAATCCTGAATTTTTGGGAGCCGCAAAACTCTGTTGGCCTTAAAATATTTATGAGCAAGCCAGAAGACTGTCAACTGTGTGTTTACAGCCCGTTCAAATCCGCAAAGGATAGGAAAAAATTCCACGGTCATGCAGCACAGAGCTAGATCTCGCAAGCTCTGAGTAAAAATATAATGTTAAGGAAATAAAAGTTAATTTTTAACTTACCGTTGTCTGATGTAGACATCGTCGATCCCACAAAATCGCGCGTGATGAAATGAAATGGGAGAGAAAAAATGAATTTATAAGTTACACTCTACATCAATGACTTCAAATATAAGCCTGAAAAGTTACCTCATAAAAAGCAAACTGGCCTTCACCCGAAGGTTGACCTCAGTATTTGGTAAACTAAGGCATAAATCCGTTAACTGAGACCTCAGGTTTGGGTTTAAATTAAGCGGGAAAAAGTTGTTGGTAAAAGTGTTTGATCGTGTAGACGAGACATACCTGTTTTGCTCCTGGGATGGAAACTTCAACTCCGCAACGCGAGCAACATTTTAGTTTGCAATATTTGCACTCTCTGCCCGTTCCCTCGGTGAATTTAGTCTTTAGGCAAATCTCACATACATTCGGATCTGTGACTTTAACTTTGGGGTCTGTCTTTTTTTCGAGTTGATTTTCGTACGTCGCGACTTCTTTCATCATTTGCCTGCGATGGAAGACAATCATTCGATGAGTGAAACCTTCAACTTGATACTCAATTCCCAGCAAACTTTACTCCCAAAAAACCCAGACATTCTCTCGAACCCCTCGTAAACTACAGACGCCAAAATATCACAGGTGAATAAAAAAACAAATTTTATAACGTCGAAAATGTGAACGCCACCAGCGCTAGTAGGTATGTCTTGGCGTTGGTTGCATTCTAGGCGACTTACTTTTGCATTTCAATGGTTTGATGCTCCAAGTTTTTCTGTCGATTCATCACTTCTAGTATAATATTCCTCTCCTCTTCGGTCAGATGAGATAAATCAGGAGGTGGTGGCGAAGATGGTGCTCGCATCCCTGCCATCTTTTCCTATAAATACGTAGCGCAGAAGCAAGAGTTTTGCGTCCCCTTGGTTCGGGGATGAATTCTCAATATTTCCACGAGTTATAAATGGCAAATGAATGTCCAGCCCACGCTTCAAATCCTAAATATCTAACTCAAATTTATAGGTCCAATGCTAGTATGATTCTTCGAGCCTCCTTTGGTTTCCATCTTAGGAGAACATTTCATTCATTCTGTATTAAAAATGGTTTCCAAAGCGTCGAAAAACTCCGAACCAAACCACAACAAAGAATATTCTACACTTGATTTGGCTGTATTTACAAATTTACATTCGGCTTTCTTCGGGATGACGGCGCACCATCGGCACCTGTTCGTCAACTCATCGTCGTGACTTCGAGACTTCGTTACAACTACCAGATCTATACATATATATATACATACATATGCATATAGAAAAACTATTTTTATGTGGTTATATTTATGTAGGAAAGAAGTAGTTTTGGATGGTTTGATTATAAGTTATTTCCGTCGGCGCTACTATTGTTTGATTTTTATCAAAAGAGCATGTTTATTTATAAATACGAGGATACAGAATGGCTAAAAATTAGCTCGCGTCGCCTCACAAAATTAAGCAATTGGAAAGCTGTTTATGAACTTTGAGCCACTCAAATTTCTCCACCATATCGAATGAATTTTCAACTTACTGTTGAGTTCTAACTCAAGCACCTGATAATAACGCCAAAAATTTCATTTCATTAAGGAATTTTTCCTCGTTTTCAAAATACCTATGCAAATATCACTCGATTATTAATTCATTTTGTTTTTCTGCCAGAAATTTTGACAAGAACATTCAATAATGGAAATAATATGAATGCAGGGACAAATTTGAGTCATCCCATTAAAAAAAACAACCCTTTTTTGCCTTATTTGACTCAAAATTCCCATCCAAAATCTAAATCACAAAACTAGCCATTTTATCTTTATTTTGTGAATTTTTCTCGTTTGTCAAAAATTAAATAAATTCACTAAAAATTAAAAAAAAAAAAAAGTTTTCAGACTTGGAAAATATCCCTGATTAATTCCTTTGAGATTGTTTGTCAAAGGGTTTTCCGTTTTGCGTCTTTCGACACAGGTTTAGATACATTTGATTACAAATTTCTTAAAGAGATACCCTAAAAACTTAATTGATAGTTGTGGCTTCGTAAGTCTGTAGTTAAGCAGGCAAGGCTATCATTCCGTACGTTCACATTGTTGACTGAATAGTTTTCTTATACCAGCCAATCAGATTTTCAAACTACGAAGATCAGTATATAATTCTATAAAACACGAGAGGCAGATAAAAATAAGAAAATTAGAAAAAAACAAGTGTGACGATTAGTCCAAATAACTGGTAGATTTGCCAGGTTTCTATGGGAACTGTCAATTTTCTTGTCATGTTGACTCGTGAATACCACGAAAAGTAGCTTATTTTGTATTGACGACAGTACAAACAAACCTGCGGAGAGCGTCGAATTGGCTGGAGTGAATTCATTGTTATTAAGTTTGAGGTGATGAGAGCGGTCAAATCATCTGCGACTTAGAATGGACAAATTAGCGAAAAAAAAGGCTTTAGCGTAGCTGGTTTTAGCGAGTGACCTTTTGAGGTCGAAAAGGCATCGTCTACGTCATTACCAGCTGGTTGCTCTCGACTTAACCGCTTATTTTTTCCCCTATACCTAATTCCGATTCCTTGTTCCATCCGATTCTTTTTCCTATTTGATGTTATTTTTAGATGTTGCTATTTTAAGCTTCAACATTGTTATTATTCTCATTAACAAACAAGTGAGAAAAAAGAGACAAATTAGGCTTCAATTGCAATGAGGAGCATGACACTTGGCTTAACCAATCAGAATACATCAAAAGGTGCATCGTCCAACCACGTGCTTAAACCTGGAAGCAATTAAAGGGTTGCGGTACTACGCTTTACTTTTTCGGCCTGAACATAATAAGCTGTAGTTTTTTTAGTCACTATGTCAACTGTGTTTTCTGCAAATTAGTAACATTTTAACTAGCTCTCGCCATTATTGGATTTTGTTTTTGCTTTTCTGAAACTCTAGGTTGGTTATTGGATCGATATTTCATCTTTTATATTTTTTTATTTTGGTTATGTAAATCCTTGGAACGCTATACCACTTCTCGAGACGGCTGTTAGTTGAGACATTCTCTGTGCACCCACCCTGCAAGACCCCTGGTTACGCCCATGAATTGATATCTTTTAAAGTTCACTTGCTATGGAAACATGATTTTTGGATTTTTACTTTTTGATTGCTTAAAAAAAGGGCCATACATCCAGACATCGAGTGCTGAACCGTCGTATGGCAGCTTAAAGCAGTTACGGCTATGCCAGAGTTTTCGACCCCGATACCGTTATCCGGAGATTTATAGACTGATCAGGAAGCTCGGCCGAAGCCTAAGGGAAAGATTAGTCGGCCCCTAAACCGTAGATGATTAACCCCTTGCTATGACCAACAAACTCAAATCTTTTACCCCATTCACACCAAGGCTTAAACATGTTTTAAAGTGGTTTAACTAAACAGGTTTGGAAAGCTATCGACGAACACTGCACAATCTTTGGTGAAATAATGCATGTAAACTTCCTTTGTCTTGCTCTGATAATATTTTAGAAAGTTTTATTATATTGTAGGTTTCTAGTTTCAATTTTTTTCCTGATGAAAACTTAGTTTAACTAAACACGTTTAGGTGTGAATGGGGTATTTGATTGTGACGCTGATGGCTTTGAACAGTTTCCGGAAAACTGCGCATGCGCCGAATAGTGTATTATGCCAGAGCCCTCTTTCTTCAACGCAGGCTGTGGGTACGAGATTGCTTGTCGTTATGCTGCCTTTCCGTCAGCCATCGGTAAAAAAACACACAAACCCAACTTCTTCACGTGTATGTCGCGTTGTGGTTCCGGCTGCAAATTTGTCTTACTCATCCGAACAACATTACATGACAATTCACTAAAAATATTTCAAACTTCACGGCTAAAGCAAACTTCTCAGTTTGCACAAGCAGTTAATGGAATTGACGTTAATTGTTCTTAAAACCTAAAGTTTTTTCAAAGAATGACAACCCTTGGGAAACTGAATCCAGACGACATTACATGCCTTTCAAAACTCAAACCCCGTACAAGAAAAGAATAAACTTACCTTAGCTCACCAAGTTACATGAGAAATGAGACTTTTTCTGTCACCCTTCTATACTTAATGGTGTATTCAATATCATAAGTGTTTTAATATGTCTACCATATATTAGTGTCGGTATACTCTACCCTTAAATGACGTAAGAGGATTATTATGTAATATATAATGTGCGGTCTGCATTATTTTTGATTGCTTGCCGTGATATTCATTTTCGTGATATTCGAAATAAACCTTTGTCTTGAAGAATAAATCCACCTTAACTGGGATGTCATCGTCAGGTTACAGGTTCTGTACCGTTTTCTTCAGTCTTTGACGACGTAAGCCTGCAACTCTTGTTGGATTTATACTGATAAAATGAACATAGTAAACTATAAGCTTTGATGTGTACAATATAGGTGGTTAAATTGGGATTAAAACGGAAGACACAACGATGTACTCTGACTTTATTTTTTCAAAAACGTTTGCAGCAAATAATGTACATTTCTCAAAAGTATCGTGAATGCGAAAAAAGTATCCATCGTAAAAGCAAAAGAAATCACACTTTTTCTCGATAACATTTCTTTTGTATTTCCATCAGCTATATCCTCGCATACAAGACAATTTTAAGAATGGTATATTGATTATAACTCGCTTTTTAAGTTAAAACCAATTTAATTCATGTGTCTAGTTTAAGAGGGAAAAAATCAAAATCTAGTTTAAAAAACCGTTGTTGCCAAAGGGTTACAGACTCAAAGGTAATCAAAAGTGTTTTCCACGATTGCATGTTTAAACGTATTTTAATTTGAAACTCAAGACAAATCAAAAACTTTTTTTGAGCCCGAAGCAGTTAAGTATAATTGTGAGTTTGAATAACGTGAATCTTGTACTTTATTGATATATAATACTTTGCAGTACTAGATTATACAGGTGCTAGTATACTAGATAAGAAAGCAGCGAACGAATGTCTAGAAAAACTGATATTGTTGACGGCCAACGCTTTTTAGATCAAACCCTGAAACAACCTCTGGGTTGATCTAAGTCAGGGCACGGCTAACTCACAGATAGAACCCTGAAACAACCTCTGGGTTGATCTAAGTCAGGGCACGGCTAACTCACAGAACGAATTGGGATTAATTTATCGTGCTAAGTTTTGCAGAGAGAGGTTTTGAAACATATCGACAACGGAAACCCAAGATTAAAAGTGGGCAAAACAATGCTGAAAGAAAAAACCTTTTGTTTGCATATACTTGTTTCAGTTTTAAAGTAGGCGTTCGAGTTGGCGGTCGACCAGAAACCTATTGCACAACTTCCTACACTGTTAAAAATCCAAGGTCTTTAAAATAAATAGCAGGAAAATGTTCCAACATTAGAAAATATTTCAAACGTAACGTTGGCGTATTCCGTGCTTAGAAGACCACAAAATATTCACCTCCCACAACATCACTTCCTTTCGATTATGATTGATTTTATTCTTTCCCCCCTGCAGTAAATTATTTCTCCACCAATGCCTAGAATATGAATATAAACAATATCTTCCTAGATACTCTATAGAAGACTCTATAGAATACAACCACCTTATTCTTGGACAATAGAGACCTCTGTTAGTCCATCATCTTGTTACAGAAGAAAATTTTCCAGCTGGGTAGTTAAACCTGCACAATAAGGAAACCTGTGTAATTCGACCGTCACAACCATCGTCGGGACAATAGAGCCCTCTGTAATTCGACTGCCTTGTTCCAGAAGATCAGGAGACGTGCATTTTGTTGTACCTCTTTTAAGTGGGCCTTCGTAATCTGAAGGCAGTACAGGAGACCTATTTAATTCGACCTCCATAGAGATATTCGACCACCAGAATGATCATGAGACCTTTGTAACCCGATTGCTTATAAAAATAAATTGGCGAAATCCTCCCTGAAATGCATGTACGTAGAGTAGCCCTCTCTAAATCGACCTCACCTTTAAAAAAAATTAAAACTCTCGTAAAGACTATAATTTGTATAATTTTTTCAAGGTCATTCGTGCGCTAAACTAACTCATTTGCAATTTGCATTTCTTTCGATTTTCACTACGCAAAATATATTTGAATCTAATGAAACGCGAACGAAAACGATGCTTGTCAGTTTGAAGCATCAGACACTTTATTTAACTCGAAGAGTTCCATCAGAGTATTTTTTTAAAAAAAGCGTTGATCATTTATATTCAAAGAACCGATTGTATTCTATAGCCTGAAGTACTTATTAATGATTTCTGCTGGCGTATTTCTAAACCGCACATTATTACAGATGCAAACAGATAACAAGCCAAGACTTTTGCTGGATTAAAACAAAAAAACATTGCTTGACCAGCATAAACGTCGTAATCAATTATTTTTTCGAACCTTCAAGCTATAACTGATGGCACAGTAGATGAATAGTATTCGTCTGTTTAGTTTAGATTTTTGTTTTGTTTTTCCATCCTAGCAACCCCCAAAGAGGTTATAATTTTTACTCAACACGACATGTCATCAATTGGATTTCCTTACATTTGATTGATTCCAGTGTTTGATGAGGCGACTCAATCTCGTACCCAGAGCCCACGTTCCTCTTGGTCAGTACGTGACAACTATAATTTAGAAAATTGAGCAACGCACCCGAGGTTTTTTTAAATTATTATTATGTGCTGTAAGGTGGGTGGAAAGGGTTGTGCAGAGGCGTAGCCGCCATTTGGACCAGTGGTCTGGCTTTAAGTTAGAAAACACTTTTACCAATCCCCCCCTTTTTTTATAAGGGAAAAACAATTCTGACGGAGGGAGAGGGGGGGGGAAGGGAGATTTGGATAAAAAGTGGCGCGAAATGTTGCGTAGTGGTTACTTTTGTGAATCCCAAAGGCTTTTTGGAAAACCTTGGATGAAGATCAAAGCTGGACGATGTCAATAATACAAACTAAACAAATATCAACTAATAGCTGTTAATAATATTTAATAACGCTCTGAACCCTTCTTTCACACAATATTTGGTTTTGAATTTATTTAATTTTTCTCTCTGATCAAAGTCTGGTAAGTAATTTATACAAGTTTGGCTTTATACCAGCTATAAACAAAATGAGCTTCCCTTCCTACTTTCCCACCCTTCCCCCCACCCCACCCCCCAGTTTTAAGACATGTACGAGCCTTTCAATTCCCAAATGTTACCTCTTGGAAAGCCTGTGTCCCACTAGACAGAGCTGGAGTATTTAGCTATTCAAAGTATTAGAAATTAAAGACAACCAATCAAATTAGAGAATCAGATAAGCCAAATGTTATAAAATTAAAATCGCCCAATCAGAATTAAAACTTCGAATCGGCCAATCAGATTGAAGAATTCAAATGAATCAATAGAATTTAAGAACCCAGATTGAAACATATTTTGAAAATAGAATCAATCCGCTTCGATAAATCCAATAGGATAGCTAGGATTGTTGCTAACCAATTAGCGTAAGAATTCACGTCGGCCATTCAGGTTAAAGATGGAAGCGAGGCCATCAAATAAGAATTGGGGATTAAGATAATGCGTTTGGATTTAACTGGATTAAAGCCAATGGCATCCAACAAAGAATGTTTAAACCGGTTTCACTTTAACTTCGTTACTTTTCACAGGGACACCAGCCAAATTACTGAATGATTTAACTGGATAAAAGCCAATATGGCATTCAACAAAGAATGTTCAAAACGATTTCACTTTAACTTTGTTACTTTTCACAGGGACACCAGCCAAATTACTGAATGATTTAACTGGATAAAAGCCAATATGGCATTCAACAAAGAATGTCTAAACCGGTTTCACTTTAACTTCGTTGCTTTTCACGGGGGCCCTATGGATACCAGCCAAATTACTGAATGAGCTTCCTGCTAAATAAGGTTATTTGTGCTGCATTTCCTCTCGGGTTAATTGTGGAAAATTAACACCTTCCACAGGAAGCCCAAACTACAGATAGAGATGATAAACGTGAACCGAACCTCGCCTTCCCTTATCCCAATCTCGTACCCAGAGCCCACGTTCCTCTTGGTCAGGGCCTCAGTCGTTTCTCGGTACTGACCAAGAGGAACGTGGGCTCTGGGTACGAGATTGCCCTTAACCTAACTCAAGACGCCCTCTTAATGCTCTGTTTGTGCTTGGTATCAAAAATTAACCCGCCCCTCCCCTCCCTAATCATTTTCGTCCCCATCCAGCGGGAATGGGAATAAACATGTATTCTATTTTCTTTGATTTATTTTGATTGATTAACTAAGTTTGATTAGCTTTGTCTATTATATTTTAATTTAATGTATATTAGTGCATTAGTATGTACAGTAATTTCAAATCGCTGTGGTCCTCGTATCCCCCCAAAAATCATTCTTGTAACACAATGTCACACGACGATCTTTGGCGTAACACACGTGACATATCACGCAATGCTTCAATGTTTTATAGCGTACTTCGTTGTCACACTACCAAAGTCCTAGCGTGACTAAACGTGTAAACTGATGTCATTCAATGGTCCTTGCGTGACATAATGTCACACAACGATCTTCTATGACACAATGATAGAGGAGATGACACAGAGTCATATTATTTCAATAGTCCTTAGAGGGTAGCTTTGAAAGCTCTCTACCCATGATGATTGGCACTCTAGATATGTACATTCCTTATTTACGCGATGATTAAATGGTGTGCATGCTCGCATTGAATCCACACATCCACCCCAAAAAATGGGTTCATCAACATCTTATTCTACTGTGAAATGGGAAAACCTGTATTACGGAAGGTATTGTAGATGGCGTAGTCTCAGGCTCAGAAAATACTCGGTTTGAACCATTCCTGACCCATACGCATGCGTAGACCGGTTTCACCCCTGTCTTCTGATAGCCATTGATAGCCATTGATAGCCCTAACTAGCATCGTCCATGAATCTAAGCCTTGATACTTCTTTACTGAAATTTGCCAGAGTTAAAGCACTATCTCTTAAATGATATATGGTGTTTTCCCAAAACCAGGGTTTGATTAACACATTGACTTTCCTTTGTTTGTTGATCGAGTAGAACAAGCTCCAACATCGGTTCATTTTCGGACCATTATCGGGTCCCTGTCGGAAAAATTTCGGATACTGTAGGGCCAGACTGACGTGGCTCCTTTTGTTTTCTCATTAGCCGTCGCATTATTTATAGCTATTATTTCATTAATTACCTAGGACATCGTTAAAGTTTTACTAGACGATCATGTTGGGTAATTCTGGCTGTGTTGAGTTTTCTCTTCCCGTAAGGTAATACGTAATTAGCTGACCTTTACCCTTTACTCGCACTGCACCACGGTATACGAATGTAAATCCTTTGTCTTTCAGTGATTCATACGTGTAGTCTGTTACCTAGGAAACAAAAATTTTTTTGTTTTCCAAAGATGTGTTTGGCTGTTCATTCTTAAGCAAGTAATGCTGGATTTTTCTGTATATAGAATTTTTCGAGTAAGTGACTTTACAGTGGCCATGATGGTGTACCAAAACAAACTTTTTCGCATCCTCCGGGAATTGAACTTTGACTATAAAAAGCATTCCTCATTAGCTTTTCATGTTAGTTCAACCAACATGGCGGCTGTATCATTGGTATCCTCCTATTCTTGGGGTGCATGTTACGTCATAGCCGCCATGTTGGTTGACGATAACAAAGCATCCCTTATTAGCTTATCTTGTTGGATCAGCCAACATGGCGGTTGTTTCATTGGTATCCTCCTATTCTTAGAGTGCATGTGACGTCATAGCCGCCATGTTGGTTGACGATAACAAAGCATCCCTTATTAGCTTCTCTTGTTAGATCAACTAACTAGCGGTTGTTTCGATTGCACTCCAAGAATACCTGGATTTTCTCGCTCATAACTCTTGCTAATTGATGGGTTGCAAGCATTCCCAAGAGAGTTAAAAGACAAAAACATGGCGGCCATTGTGGTACCGTTAATAATGGATGCTAATGAGAAATCTTTTGTTAAATGGCACCATTATGGCCGCGATGACGTAACGTGCAAACGAAGAATTATTATATTTTCCTGTATATAATAAAATTTTCCTGTATACAAAAGGATTTACCTGTAAGACAAGTTGATGACATACCTGTACATAACCGGCTTTTCCTGTACTCTCCATTCTACTGGCTACATTCACTGTGTTTCCCCATATATCATAATGTGGTTTCTTGGCTCCTATAACGCCTGCTACGACTGGGCCTTGACAGATTCCTACGAAACAACACGCATTTACAATTAGGTTACTCTTTAACTCATTGGCATACGCAGCACTAAAGTAGGGAGGGAGGTGGTACTTTCCCCCCCCCCCCCCCCCTTCCCGCAACCATGCAGTAGCACGAACATGGCTAACAAGTTCGCTTATTGCTATCTTTGATGCTCACCGTTTGCTTTTCAGGAGCCTTGGCTCCGACTATCCATACCCTGAGCTGATCTAAGTCAGGGCATGGCTAACTCACAGATCAAACCCTGAAACAACCTAGGGGCTGATCTAAGTCAGGGCACAGCTAACTCACTGATCAAACCCTGAAACAACCTCTGGGCTGATTTACATCAGGGTACAGCCAAGTGTGGTACCGAGTCTACTACCGCTACTTCACCGCCCTCAACTTACCTACTCTAAGTACGAAATTATTGAATGATTCTTGGTTAATGCTCTCAAGCTTATCTCGTAGAGTAAGCGCAAAATCGACCATATCAACTAGGTTTTGGATTTCGTCTTCTCTCTGAAATAACATTAACACCAAAAAGAAAACTATGTGTAAATATCAACATAGTTTATAGAGGATAACACTTGACAGTAATTCAACTGATAAACTCAATGTAGTTGACAGGACATCAGATTATAGTGCTTCACAAAAGCACAAGCGGAATCGTACAATTGCCACCACGGCAAAATAGCATTTCGTGGCCTTCAATCAAAGTGTTTACACATCATTGCCTGAAAACTCAAAGTTTTCGAGGGCACATACTAATGATGTTATGGAAACACCTTGATTGACGTCCACCAAAATCTACTTCATCGCGACGACAATTTCTTGCGTGCTTTTAAAATGACTGTAATACACCTAAGTCCAAAATGGCGCAATGCCGAGTGTGTTACATGAAAAAGAGGCATCCAGGGCCAAATACAAAGGAATAATATGGTGTTAATGCAAAGTATACACTTGTTCACTTATTGTCTTTCTTTTCTTATTACATTTAGGAACGCGACAATTTTGCAGCATCAAATTATAAGAAAATACTGTAAATTTGTAAGTTTGGCCCTGGATGCCTTATTTTCAACCGGCCGTGCGCCATTTTGGATTTAGGTGTATAACGATAATTTTTATCAACAAAGGAGGAGACTGTTGTCCAAAAATACAAGCGGGTTATTTGTCACATTCTAATCTTAAGTATTCATTTCAGCAATAACCAGGATGGCCGAGTGGTTAAGGCGTTGGACTTAAGTTCCAATGTACGAATGTACGCGTGGGTTCGAACCCCACTCCTGGTATAGCTTTTTCTTTTCAAATAAGATAACAAACTTGAAATCAAATCAAACATTGAGTGTCGTATTTCCCTGTGTCTGTTGTCTGCGAGGCAGACCCACGAGTTAGCATCGTCCCCGTATCCTTCCTCGATTTTCCAAAGTTTTTCTTTTTGTACTTGTCTTTTTTTTCATTTCTTTTCTTCTTCAAAAATGTTCATGTCGAATTCGTTATAAAACGACGGCCTTTTCTGCCGCTTTTCCGCACAATCCAAATATGGAATTGATCATACCATATATGGAGTGAGCTTTCTCTACTCCAACTTCTACACAAACATATAGAGTAAAGCTTGATATGCACAGAGTGATTTGAAATAATCGTAGTAAACCCTAATTCAATTTTTTTGTTTAACTTTGACTGTTCATTCCGATGTTGAGGGAAAACCTAATTAGAGTCGACACTGTAGTGCATTGTGGGGCTGTTTTAGGGGACATATTTCCAAGATAGCGTCTATTTCGTCCCCTAATGTCCCACAGTGCACTGCAATGCCATCTTGACCCAGTTTTTCCTCAACCCCGGAAAGGCTTATAAAATAAAAAATCTTCAAAATGCCTGACAAATGTAACGCAACCAATAAGGTGTACTGCGTTACATATAGACTTGATGTAACGCAAGAGTATCAATGCTACCATTACCGTACCTCTGATTCTGGTTTGAGGCCAGATGCAGCCATGTACGTACTACTAATGGTCTTGATTTTCTCTATACCAGTAAACCTGGCATCCATCAGAACCTGAAAGAGAACAGAACCGTATCCTTGACGATAAGAAAAACAGCTAATGACAGACATGTGCAGGGACGTAGCCAAGATTTTCCGAAAAAAAGGGGGAGCAAATCCGCCATTTTCTTTTGGCCGAAGCGCCGAACCAAAAAAAAAAAAAGAAAAGACCGTATAATTAAGATAATTTCGTTAGGGGGAGCGAAACTTAAAATTACCATATGAATTCTATAAATGCCGCCATTTTGTTGCCACGACAGAAAGGGGCCATGGGAAGGAGCCATGGCCCCGTTGGCTCTCCTTGCCTACGCCCTTGATGTGATGTCATAGCCACCATGTTACAGTGGAGCTTCTTCTCTTTTCATCTTATATTGAAAAGCAAGAGTAACTAATAATGGATCCTTTCACTTTCATCGTATTTTTTTCCATTTAATACGTGTCCAGTTGTATCAACATTCAGTTGTACCTTCTTATGCGCAACCGTTAAACAAAAATTATTATACTCAAGGGAAATATGGATTGGAATAAAAAAACTAATCTTACCTCATCAAAGTCACCAATGACCTCATTCAGAAGCCGAATGCATTCCACGCCACCTTTGTTGATGTTGTCCTCGGAGTAGAATTCGGAAAAGTTCGGAATCGATGCAAACATGACGCTGACATGTTCGTAGGAGTGACTGTAGAGCTCCTGGGAAATCAGGAGAAAACAATACACTATCAATCAAAAATCTATCAGATTATCTACAATGTGAAACAAAGAAGTATTGAAATAGTTGCACAAATTTTCTATTTTCTTGACGTTAATCCTTTTTTATACCTTTTCAATGTCTTTTTTTGCGTCCTTTTTTAATAACCCTTATTCGTCTTCGTGCAATGTTTTCCCATTACATGACATACCACATGTCATTCCCTTGATTATCATTTCTTTGTTTAACGGTTGCGCATTAGAAGACACATGAATATGGATACTACTCAAATGATGAATCTTATTCTCTAGGGAATGACACGTGGTCTGAGTTGGGAAACATTGCACCGAATAAGCTTCCTTCCTTTTCCGGTTCATTCAAACTCTCGCGCATATTTCTTTAGTATATAGTTACTGCAAAGAGGACTGATGCCTTAACAAAGACATATGACGTCATAATGACGTCATCTTTGTCGCCATCTTTCTCGTCATTGGTTAATTAAGAGGTTTTCTTACCGTTTCATCTTTGTACTGATGCTTTAAGAAATGATCAGCCACGTGACTCGGCAGAATGTTGTACAACAGCTTCTGGTTCCTTCGACGAAGTTCTTCAACTTCTTTTTTCTTTTCGTTCGCCTGGAAAATGACAATGAGATTAGAAATTATATGAATGCTGGTTTTCAATCATTACCAGGGGAGTGAAATAGCGATAGACACGACGGCCATGTTGGATGATATACCAAAAGACACGGCGGCCATGTTGGATGATATACCAAAAGACACGGCGGCCATGTTGGATGATATAACAAAAGACACGGCGGCCATGTTGGATGATATAACAAAAGACACGACGGCCATGTTGGATGATATAACAAGAGACTAATGACGAAACTTTTGTTAAATTCATCCAAGATGGCGACTTTGACGTCATGTGCAAACGAAGAATGCTAAATGGAATGACAAAACAATATTATGCGTAAGACTAAACGAGGATTCCTGATTCAGGTCTCCCCGATCGACTAGCAAAGCACTTGTGCCAAGCGAGAAGACTTGAGACAGAAATTATTATTAAAAGTGATATTGGTCTTTCTTACCTCCAGTTTCCAAAGGAAAAGCAGACGAGCTGTTCTCTCCACCTGCAAGGGAACAGTTGACAAAATTTAAGATATCAACACATTATCACAACGTTACGGATTTGACGACATTGACTTTCCTAACTTGTATCTCATTAAAGAGTTATATGACATTTGAATTACCTGTCTTCCGTGTAAAGCGAGTATAATAAAAGCTAGAGCCATTATCACGGAGCAAAAGAACCTCTTTGGAACGTGCGTGGTTCTAAAACAAAAAAAAACTTTCATTTTAGACGTCAATGTACATAAACAGAAAGAATTGTCGTAACATTGAAATGGCTTCCCAATATTGAATTCCTCCAATCACAGTACGTTGCTACGGTTACAGTAAAATACAAAACAGTAATGGTGTCTACGCAAAATCTATCTAAAATACGTCTATGTTTTATACACGTAAATACAGGAAGACTACCGCAAGTTATCTAGAAATGTCACTAAGTATTGATTAAACATCAGTTTAAGTGTAAACTGTAAAAGCTACAAATCGACAGCGTTTCAAGCTTACGTCTGAAAGCTTTTAGATCGTTGAAAGCTTTTAGAGATATATAGATAGTGTCAAAAATGCAAAGCATAATCTGATACACTGTCCAAAAAACACTTTCCGCGTTTTGGTACAAACTGTGAGAAAACTATGGCGCTAAAAATTAAAGATGGGAGATCACGTGAACTTGAGATCGGATCACATGAATTTGAGATTGGTTCACATGACTTTGAGTGGGCAATTGAAACGAGATCGAATCACGTGACTCTGAGATTAGATCACGTGACTCTGAGATTAGATCACGTGACTCTGAGATTAGATCACGTGACTCTGAGATTAGATCACGTGACNATCACGTGACTCTGAGATTAGATCACGTGACTCTGAGATTAGATCACGTGACTCTGAGATTAGATCACGTGACTCTGAGATTAGATCACGTGACGTTGTAGCCAGCTATGCCGCGGAACACTTACTTGCTAAAGAGATAGACATAGTTGTCATAATTATCAAAGACATCAGATAACTTAACCACGTTGATCACCCAGTAGGCTGCTAACACCCCGAGCATCAGCATGACCTTCAGGGCGTGGCTCAGTTGTACTAGTACCGAGATCCCTAGTAGTACCAGGATGCCGTTGTACGAGTAGTACTGGAAACGAATCAAAAAGAAATGACTGTGAGGTCATAGGCTCGAGCAAAGCAGAACACAGAGGGCAGGGCAGGGCAGGGCAGGGCAGGGCAGGGCACAATAAGTTTTCGAATGAAAAAAAAAATTACTATATTATTTGATTCTATGTCCCGTCAATTTGTACTATAGCATGAGTGCTGACCTGCGGATATTCACAGTACACGCTCCGTGGGTTCAAGGCAATCGATCGGTTGATCTTTATCTTCATATCTTCCTCTGAAACCTTTTGTTGTTCGCATCCGAGCTGAAAGAGAGAAATAGAAAAAAGGAATCAAAATATATCTAAAACTAAGCTAAGACAAGAACATTATTAATACGATCAGCTACAAACTACAAAAGGAAAACGCTAGCATCAAGTGTCAGTATCTAGAAAAAATATTCTCCCTAGCACAAATATATTATTATAAATACTTTTAGCTTGGGCGTAATGTTTTCCCACTTCAGACCACGTGCCATTCCCTAGAGTATTATTTCTTTGTTTAACGGTTGCACATGAGAAGAAACATAAATATGGATACAATTCAAACAAAGAGTCTTATTCTCGAGAAAATGGCACGTGGCCTGAAATGGGAAAGCACTACGCCCAAGGTCAAGAGGGCTATTGTGATATTGCTGTTCTACTTACAAGGTCAATTAATTCAGCCCCAGCCAGTACCGTAACACACAGAGCAGCCACTAGTGTACGCGCTGGTTTACTTCCGTCAAGAATGTACGATATTCCAAGGATAGGACCAAAACACTGCAGGTATTAATATATATTTGTAGGTATTAATAGAAAAATACAACCGTAATACAATAAGATAATGATGAGGTGATATCACACTGTTATGGTTATTAGTCATGACTAATGACGCTGCCATAGGACAATTATGACGATGACGTTACTTTAGTATCGTGACGTCATTCAATGATGATGTTATGCCACGATATTGTTATGCATAGACCTTATATTAGTATGATGACGTCATGTAATGCTGATGATAATATCGTGTTATGATGACGATGCTTTTTATGATGGCACCTCATTGAGATGATGTCATAGTAAGATGATAATGACTGCACCCACTATGATGACGTTGACATTATGCTTTGATGAAGGTGACGTCATGTTAGGA